AATTAATTCTAATTATATTTGATAAACTGATAAACTAAATATAACTAAATTAATTATAGTAATTAGCATGTAATTAAAAAAAGACTTAGAAAAATAATAAAAGGAAAAATTACAGAGAAATTATAATATTGTTACAATAACATTAATATTATTGTTGCTCTGAGGTCTTATTGAAATCTGAGGTACAGGTTCTTGCAAAGTGGTCATAACCTCTATAAATGTAATATTTGTTTGATGATAATGTTGCATGCTGAGTTTGGTAGATGGAATGAAAAAACTTATTCTGAAATTTACCTTGATACTTGGTATAATAATTTGGTTTATTGTTGTTTTTCTATTGTAAGTTATCAGTGCTTTTTTTCATGCTATATGCTTTGTGTTATTTATTTTTTTTTATATCTATAATGGCTTTTGTTTTTTCAATCAGTGAGTCCTTACCTTTTAACTAATTATCTTGCATGTTAGGTAGAGCTAATGCAATTTCCTAACTGAAACCTTCTGTTACACATAATGTGAACATTCTACTTTCAATTTGTTCTTTTGCTACATTAATATGACTTGTAACATCATTTGCTATTAATGATTTCATTGCTAAGTCAAGCTCTTTTCCTATAGAACATAATGCATTATATTCATGTTGGTCATGTGCCTTATCGAATTTATGTTTTGGTCAGGCATTCTTTATTTCAGCTTTTTGTTGAGTTTCTTGTACTTGAAGCAATACTGTATTTAATTTGTTGTCAAAATTTAATAATGCATTCTCTAACTTTTTAAAACCTATTAAAACTTTCTTCTCCAAGAAGCTTAATATGTCATCACTTTCTTGTAATCTTCTTTTCTTAGATAGTTTATTCAGTTGTATTTTTAGATTCTTTGAAGTTCTTTATTTTGTGAACTGGTTTTTGTAGAGATATTTTTTGCATGTTTAGTGCTTTTTCTTGCCAACTCTCTCAAGGTTTGTAGATCCTTATCAAATATTTCTAAGGCTTCTAAATTGTAACCAGATACCATAGGGTCTATGTCTACTACATCTTCTTTTGTAGTTTCTGGATTTCCTATTATTTCAATATCCTCTCTATAGTCCTTATACTGTGAATATTTCTTTATCCTTTGGACGAGGTCTGTCTTATTTCCTTTTGTTGATATACCTAGATTTTGGCCAAGTCATTCTTAGATAGATTTGAGTCTGACATAGTAGGTACCATGACTTAAACATGATAGAGCCAGATAATGATAATCGGGCAGTGAAAAAACAAGCACTCCTGAACATTTTCTATTTTTACTTCTTTAAATTCTCATTTCATTCATCCCTAATTTCATTTTCTTAATTTCTCATTTCATTTATCCCTTAATTTCTAAATTCATATAACTCTTTACTCTAGTTACACATATCTTTGATCAGGACAATCCTTGTGATAATAACACTAATGCTGACTACATCAGCTCACGTGTCATAATGTTGGGCAATGTTATTATTATGGAATTGGAGTGAAGAAGGGTGAACATAAAGCATTCATTTATTTTTAAAAATCAGCAAATATGTGAAACACTGAGGAAATATACTGTATAATGTTGGATATTTTATATTAATGGAATCAAAGTTAAGAAAGATGAACATAAGCATTCATTTATTATCAAAAATCAGCAGAAATGAGAACACTAGTGGAGAATATAATAGTTGGTATTGCTACTTAATGGAATTGGAGTTGAAAAAGATGAACATAAGGCATTCATTTATTATCAAAAATCTGCAGAGATGGTACATGCTAATGGAACATATAATGTTTGTTGTCTCTATGAAAAGGGAATTGGGGTCAAAAAGAATAAGCATAAGGCATTCATCTATCATCAAAAATCTGCAGAGATGGGGAATGCTAGTGTAACATTTAGTGTTGGAGAATGTTATCATAGTAGCATTGGTGTTAACAAGGATGAAAATATGGTATTCATTTATTATCAAACATCTGCGGAGATGGAGATGCTAGTGGAATAAATCAAGTTGGAACATGTTATATTTTTAAAATTGGAGTTTAAAAAATGAACAAAAGGCATTTATTTATTACGAAGAATTCGCAAATATGGGTTATTTACTAATGTTGTATATTGTTATAGAAATGGTATTGGAGTAATAAGAGATTGCAAAAGTCTAATGAATGGTATCAAAAGTAGTATCTTATTTTAAAATAATGGTTTGTTTACAGTATTGTTATTAAATTATCTTGTTTTTATTTATGGCATATATTAGAGAATAGCTTCAATTATCAGGTAATATATTATTCAGTTTACTTATTAGTTTGACATTATAGTATCTAAGTCTAACCATTAAGTTTTTAGTTACAAACTATTGGATAAATAAAAGTTCCGATATTGATGATAATTTAAAACAATATTAATAAATAACGAACATTCATTATTATGGTTTCTTATAATGGATATAAAATTATTGAATCAGTGAATTTGCAGCAGTGTACGGAGCTAAGTGGATAGATCAAAGTCGAAGGATAGAAATAGGCGTCACACTTAAATTATTACGTGGATCAAACAAATATCAGGAAGAATTTATAAAAAAGGTATTTTTTTTTTAGGTATGTTTTTATTCTTTAATTAATATTCTTTTAATATTAAAGTTTAAAGCATATTGTGACATTGGTTCTAAATATCCTTCATTTTTCAAATGCTTTGGAATATCGAGAGACAATGTTTCTAAAAATACTTAAATATCCGCCGATGGGGTCCTTGTGTAATAATCTTTACGAAATAGCGCAAATAAATGGAAAGATAAATTAAATTTATTAGTTTGAATTACTTCTGATCTCCAAATAATTCACTCTCATGAATTTATATAAATAATTTTTATTTATGTCAAATAATAATTTACAAAATAAAATATAAATACCAATTTGAATATATATATATATACAAACTAAAATATAATAATCATAATTGTAATTTAATTGGCTAATCTATATTAACAGACTTAAATTCTTCTGAAAGTAAATTGTTAGAATATGTTTTTTTTGGTTGATCTAAAAAGTTTATACATTATTAACATAATTAATTAATTTAAATGCATCTAAATAGACCTAAATATTATAAATTATTCAATACCTTTAAATAGCTCTTTTGTAATAATAATTCTACTAGTATACATTGAATCTGGATGGTGTCGTGTGATTTCTGGTAATGTTTTAATAATTTTATCAGCAGCCATGAATTTTTCTTTTATATGAAGTTTATCAATTTTTTTACTATTATAAATATAACTCCAAAGATGATAAAGTCTTAAATAAATTTCGTTTGCAGTAGGTCGTTTCTGTGGATCTTGGTCAATAC